TTCCTCCTCAGGTCCCTTTTGGCGAGTTTGACTGCCCTTATCGTACCCATGGTGTGCTGTCAGGGTCAGTGCGCATTTCTTGCTCTCCTGCCAGATCAGAAGCTCTGGCAGGCCATGTGCCCATCTACCTTGGTCTCTGGCACAGGCCCTCAGGGCAGCAGGGGCTCAGTGACGGGCGCAGAAACGTGTCAGCACCTCAGAGGAGCACTGCTGGATGGGTCCCGGATTCCTAAGGCATGCAGCACTCTTCTCTGAACAAGTGGCAGCCACCCCTTGTTTGTTCTGTGCAAACGTTACCTTTCCTCTGCACACAGGATTATTCTTCACCAGGTGGCTCCAAGGGAAACTTAACATAAGCGTAGAGTCAAAGTTCAGCTGTCTCTGGCCTAGCGCTCTCTAACACCCAGCCTGGCTCCGAGCGCCAACCAGACAGGCAGGAGATACTGCACCCAGGCAGCTGTCTACAGTTAGTTCTACTATACAAGCCTTGCCATTTTCAAAATTCTTGAGACAGTGCTCCTGTGACACAGGAAAGCTCTACCAGGTCCACTGGTGGTTTTGAGAATTCCCAGTTACACTGAAGCTGGAGACCACCCTCTCTGGGAAGTGGCAAAGCCCTGTGTCTGTGCAGGGAACCTCATGTACCTTCGTTCATACCTAAGTCACGTTTCTGCCATCACTTTCTCCTCCTACAGGAGAGAAATGTTTTAAATCCTTGGGAAGCAGCCACACCACTGAGATTATCTTTTAACTGCAGGGAGGCAACGTGTGAAAGTGATATTGTGTGAACTGGCAACTCACAAAGACGGAAAGGCTTTCTCTGTTCAGCACCACCAGCTGGTCCGCCCCCCTCCTGGAGATCAATGCGGGAGCCAGGGGTAATCTGGCAGAAATGCCCAGGAGAAAAGCAGCCCTGGTGTCTGCCTAGTGAGCTTATTAGCGGACTGCTGAACAATTAAATGCCTGCCTTTAGCCCTCCACCTCTTCATTACCGAACCAGAATGGGGAACTTGGGAGCAGACACACTGGAATCAGTCCAAAGCAGGACCCGTGTACCCAGAGGGCACAAAGCAGATGCGTAATCATTAGCACAGGGACTAGGGAGTGCCAGCAGAGGTTGTGAAATCGGCAACACTTGGCTTGCAGCTTCCTGCTTCCTCCTACGTATTTGGTAAAACTTCTCCTGCACTCTAGTGACAACTTTCCTTTCACGGCTCTCACTTTGCAGGAAGTTTTCTAGTAATCCCAAATACACCTATAGGCAAGGAAAAGGTAAGAGAAGCCCACACCCACAGTGCAAGCTGGGGGTGGGTAAAAAACATGGGTAAAGAAGTCAACTTAAAGGGGTACGGGAGATTCATGGGATATTGAGAGTTACCAAAAAAAGGATTGCATGGTTGAATTACTTTGAGAAATGCCAGGTCAAATAAAATTGAGTAAATGTCTTCACTTTAGGATTTCGCAGAGCCTTTAACAAACTAACAAGCCTTGTCAATCTTCAAGTAAAATGGAAAAAGCAGAGATTCCCAAACTTACTTGATCGCAGAACCCTGAGCACCTTTCAGGACGGGTATTACTCAGAAGATAAGCTGCTTCAAAGTACCATCTTAAAAAGCACAATACAACCTGTATTATTCCAGCCCCACATACTGAGGGAAAAAAACAGCTTAGCTAATACTAATTTGTTACTTTCACCCCTACCAGTACCCTGGTTTCAAAAATGGTGACTGTTGTGATGATGTTACATTCTTTCCTTAGCTGGCCTAAACAGCCCAAAGGCAGTTTAAGACCAATATCTGAACTTCAAAAACCTTTAGGGCCGGCCGAGTGGCGCGTT